TCCTATCTCTTGTCAAACCAATTCACCAATAAATGTTAATCAATTAAGTACTGGCTCTTGTAAAAGCATAACCATCCTATAACTTTGACACTTTTAAAGTGTGTTTCTGGTTCATGAAAGCTAGTTGTTACATTTTGGTTGACTCAAAATGTGTCGTTCAGCAATCTGCTCCACCCTTGTGTAACCTATCAAAAAAACATATCTATAGCCAAAATGCCAAACTCCAGGCTAGAGCCATTCGTGGGCGTTGTTGTATTAGAGACCGCTTCTAGCCAAGAAACAGTACTGCAATGCCGATCACTCAAAGTGTTTCCTGATTGGGCGTAACACATTATAAAAGAGAGAAGGAATCACGGTGATCACTGGATGCGATCCAACACATTTGTGCATACGAATGAAAGGTTCCTTTAAATAAAGGTTTAGATTCAATGGGACAGCTGGTTGTTTTGGGTCCAGTATTTTTCTTGCACCATTAAATATACTCACTGCAGGACACACACAACCAAACACACTAACAAACAAAGAATGAACACATACACAGATAGATGAAAACATTTTGTATGTATTTTGTATTTGATTAGTAGGAAGTCTAACATGTTTTAGAACAAGATGGCAGTGTTACGTAATATTAATATGATTAATATTTCATGTAAATACATTATGTACTGAAATGCACATGCAGATATACTTAAAACCACAACAAGCTAAAATGACTTGAACTATGGAAGAAAATACTAATGTAAAGCCTTAATAAAAGTATACTTGTTTAGTATGGTGGAGAAATCAATAGTAGTGTTTCCATAGCATTTCCACAAAGAAGCTACACTCACAGTTTTCAATATATAATATAAAGTCATATATTACTAGAACTTTACTGTAGGAGATATTTATGTTAATTGTTGGCATGTCATATTATTATGATAGATATATGCAGTATTATTCTAGATGTGGGGGAAACTTCTGAAGCAATTGGAGTCAGGACTCAAAGAGAGACACGAGGAGAGCTGGAGCTTTGATGGCAAACACGGTTTATTTGGAGCTTCGGCCGGAGAATTCACAAGGCATGTCACGGGCCACGAGTTGACCACACGGTTGAGATGCCACAATCAAATCTGAAGACCCATGTATTTAGCTAGTTCAGAGAGAATAATCAACATTGAGCATAACAAGATAGAATCATAACACCTCTATCAGCTGACGCCAACAGGCAGGAACATAGAACCATAACACCTCTATCAGCTGATCCAACAGGCAGGAACAGAGAATCATAACACCTCTATCAGCTGATCCAACAGGCAGGAACATAGAATCATAACACCTAAAGTAAACAGATATGGTTCTAAACTGTATTGAAGTAAACATGTATTATTTTGAATTGTATTTTAGTGAACATGTATTGCTTGAACTGTTTTAAGTAATCACATATATACATAGTGTATTCTCATTTACAACTCACTGACCCAGAGATCCTGTTACACACACATACACCTCCTCCCACCAGCACACACACATATTCTTTTCAAGGTTCTTTCTGGGCATCAATATATCTGTGCACAATGTTTGGTTGTCTGGGAAAGAATAGTTTGTGTGAAATATTCCTTGGGAAAGTAAGGGAGTGAATATCGGTGCAGAGATAAGATTGACTCTGCCCTTGTGAACTTCCGAATCTCAGAAGAAAACATACTTTTTCTCAGAACTCTGATTCGCTGTATTGGACCCGACCAGAAGTGAATCCAACCAGTAAAAACACCTGGGGGAGTGAGCAGCTCACACAGCTCCTCCCCACGGACTCTCTGATTCGCTTCGGAGTAAAATGGGATGGAAGAGTCAACACATCTCCGCCCAAAAAATTTCTATGAATACTGTTGTTTATTCATGCAAAATGCTTCCTGTTTCTGACTGGCTGGTCCCGATACCTGTATCGCACAGCAGTAGAAACCTGAAGTCCGGAGTACTCTGTAAAACTTGTATACGTGTTTTGTTTCTTACCAGTAAAATCAGATTATTGTTATAACCTTTATTCCGGTGTTTTGAATCCCTTTCTTTATTAAATAGAACCAGCCTCATCTAACGAACGGCGCGTAGCGGAGGGGGGGCTTTAAGCCAACCATCCAACAGTGTTTGCTACAACACACCTCTATCAGCTGATCCAACAGGCAGGAACATATAATTATAACACCTCTATCAGCTGATCCAACAGGCAGGAACATAGAACCATAACACCTCTATCAGCTGATCCAACAGGCAGGAACAGAGAACCATAACACCTCTATCAGCTGATCCAACAGGCAGGAACAGGGAAACAGAGCACTGAGAGCACAGCAGGTGCCTGAGCTCAGTCAGGACAGCATGAACTGATAAACTGGGTCACAGTTATGGGCCTTGGAAATTATTTCCCCAACACTAGACACTTAGGATTGGTGATTAGATGCATAAGGTTGTATATAAGAGTGCATAGTTGACAGGAAAAGGACAGCACAGGTAGAGGGAGCGCACACAGTTCTCACAAGATCTACAGACAAGAAACACTCACTTGCAGAACTGGAAAACCTCTTAATGTTCAGGGTTACACCATGGCTGTTCAAGTGATCCATGCAGTGTTATGAGTGAACATCAACATTAAAGGCAGATTAAAATGTGTAACGTGACACAGCACAATGTAGTAGATTAATTACAATGCATAGTGTCTGCCCATTTTAAGTTAACATTTATAATAGTAATATATGGTTGCATACTCTTTATTGAGCATAGCATAACTTGCTCTCATTAATCAGAAATACATTATGATGAATGATTTCCCCCTGGGGGTTCATGTATTGATTCCTAACAAGTCAGTTCAACCCTCGACCCCCTCTTAAAAATAACAATGAGTTTTGTTTAAAACTTTGGTTCTGACCAACCGACTGACTACAGATACGTTAAAGAACATGTTCATTGAAGCAATGTTCTAATCAAGTCAGCCTTGAGAGAGGTTTGAAAGTTTGTCAAAATGTGTTGTTATGATCAATATAAAGTTTAGATGATTGTTAGGGTTAGGGTTAGGGTAAGCAAATATCTCTCAGAGGGGCGTGGGGAGGGGCTCCTTATTTTCATCTAAAGTACCAGACAGAAAATCAGCACTCTGGGAACAGGGCTGAAACCGAGGGGATTATGGGTAATGCTGCAATGATCTGTTTGGTGTTTCAGCCAATCAGAGACAGGCTCTGGATATATCTGAGACCTGGGATGTATTGATGAAGAGGAAGATGATAGGGGACCTGTGATATATTGATGAAGAGGGGACCTCTAACATTCATAATGCACCCGTTATGTGCGTAGCAGGACTTGCTGTAATTCTTAAGAAATAAATGATGTTTAATGATTTCTCCCTAAGGGTCCATACTGTATATACCAGAACAAGTCATTGTGAACTCTATGGCCTATATAAAACAATCAGGAGTTCTTAAACTTTGTATCTGAACAAGGCTTCATGATATCCTCTAACAGCTTTATAAACACTACAAAACTCATTTTTACAATGTTAGCCAAGTCTGAAGGTCTCTAAAAGAAAGTGTATAATTTGGTGTTGGGGTCTGGGGAGACCCAGCAGAATTGTTTTGGTTGACTCGGGGTCAAATTTGGCCCAATCAAGATTCATCTTTGACTTTAGACACCCCCCCCCCCCACCCCCTTCATCCACTGTAACAATAATTGTAAGTCTATTAAGTCTATTATAGTCAGATAACATCATTATCCACTGTCTTCACTACAGGGAATATAATGAGTGAATTTAATAAAATGTTTTACTTAAATATGTGGTGTGATGTGTTTTTGGGCCATAACATAAAATAACAAGAGGATTGTAAGGTTATGAATGCATTATAAGTTAGTTATGATGTAGTTTAAAGTGGACCTATCATGCTATATTTGAAACATATATTGTAGGGCCATACCTATATAAAACATGTCTGTGAAGTTTTTTTTTCAAAATACCAAACAGATCACCCATTGTAGCAATCCCTCATACTGCTCATACCCCTCTTTTGAAGCCCTGTTAGAGAAACGCGGATCTTGGGTCCTTAGCTTGAAAAAAAAGAAAGAAGAGGAGGCGGAGCTAATGCCTGATCAGAATTCTACCGGAGATAAAGTTAAATTCGGTTGTGATAAAACGCCATCCTGTTTAAACCACGTCAAGGATTATTTCTGAAATAGTATGGAGCTCAAATGCTTTTTCTCTTGCAGGTTTATCACAAGGTGAGTTATTTTTTTATTTCCTGCTTTTTAAACACATGTGCTCTTCAGTACAGGTTAGCTCTGAGTGTTAGCGAGGCTTGCTAATGTAAACAAAGACGAGATTACGTCCAAAGCACGTCAGGCATTGTTTCTGATAGCAACTTTCTGTGGGTCCGCTGCCGATTTGACGTCAGTTCGGAAGGAATCTGTATCCGCTCGTTGTACACCCGTTTTTAAAAGATTTGGGTATGGAGGAAAAGAGAGAGGGTTTTATTTTCTGACTCTGCGTGAGTTCCCTGACGCACCGGGGACACATATGTATGTATAAAAGACATCACAAAGTGCATTTTGCATGATAGGTCCCCTTTAAAATATATTGGATGATAGTCATTATTTCTGAGTGTTTTGGAATGAAATAAATCATGGGTCAAAATTGACCCGCGAACACCATGAACGTTGACAGCTTTCGAACACAACACAAGGGTTAAGACAAATAAAACTCTATGCTGACTCAGTGTGCATCAACATGGCGGCGCTGAGCTCTGCGTTGGGCTTGCAGTTTAATATAATTGCGGTGTTGAAGACGGTTTACCTGGGGATATGGGTTGGCATACGCCTATTTAACATTGGATGGCTTTTGAATAAGTGACGTACCTAATCTACTTGCTAATTTCCTCTATAGCGACAAACTTGCTGAGATACAAGTTGGATGAGTTAAAGCAGACTTTTATGGGGGTTAAGAAAAACAAGTTCTTAAAATGGACCGCCACTCATTTACCCCTAGTTAGTTACCACTCCTCGTCTTCTTCGGTCCATACTGAAAAGATGACAACCAAAAACACAGCGGACACTGTGACATAGACAAAAAAGAAAATTATGTCCAATTTTCTAGCCACTCTGGTCCAGTAGTAGGACTTCCTTTCTTCCTTCCTGCGCTTCCTTTCTTCCTTCCTGCGCTTCCTTTCTTCCTTCCTGCTGAGGAACAGAGAGAGTCCTTTCACCGCCTCACTCAACTCATCTGGGGAATTGGACTCCTCCATCAGTTCGCCTCTTTTTTCCTGCAGAAGTTTTTTAGTGGAGTGATCATTAACAAGTTTATAGACCACATCAAATTGAAAACCGTTTCACATGTACTATTCCTATTTGTGTCCATTATGGTGAGAATAAAGTGTTAGTTCATCAGACACACATATTCACTTACAATGTCCATAGTGCTTAAAGAATTTAAAGGTTTCATCTAAAATAAATCAACTGTATCTCTTTCCAGAACAAAATCTCTGAAACTTTGAGTAATCTTAAAATGTTACTGTGAACTGCTTTTATACTTCCCTAATTTGAGTTCTCTTTGTTTTTTTAAAAACATTCCCTTTACAGATGAACCCAACTCTCACCTCTTTGGACACAGACAGCAGTTCAAATGGCGGTTCATCAGACACCTTACACACACAAGCACAGTGAGTCCATTTCTTCACATCTGAAAATAAATTATTGACACCGGACAGTAGCATGTTCAAAAGAATGTATTATTAATTGTAGATGTTGCTGTGTGTATTCCAAACATACAGTATGAGTGAATACAATATAACAATAGTTAAAACCCACAGGTTTAAAGAATGTGTTCAGTCTCACCTCCATCATCCTGTTTGTCTCCACAGTCCTCTTTCAGGCTGCGGTTTTTATCTGCCTTTGTTTCTTCAGATGTAGAGTCTTTCTCAATCAGATACATCACCAAAATCGTCTCCAGAAGGTTGATCATCATCAAAAAAAATATCCCAATGCAGTACACCGCTGAAGAGAAAAGGCAACGTCATTAAAGTGGACGAAAGGTAAGCCATTGTGGTTCCTGCTTGAATTAAATGAAATTCCAATAAAAGAATCTGAGTCAGAGCTGCTTTACCTATAAGCGGTATGTCTTCTGAAGTGGAAGGCAGCATCTCATTGAGAAGAAGCTGCATCACAGTGACAGCGAGCAGCACAGTGACCTTGAAGCTCACCTTCTCACCCCCGCTGTCTGACATCAGGAAGGAGGCCAAGTCCAGACAGTATAAGAACATGATGGGCACTAAGAAGTTGGCGATGAAGACGCCAGGATGCCTCTCCATCCTGATCTGTGATCCAAGATGGAAAAACAGTGTTCACTAATGCTGCAATGATCAAAAACATTATTGATTATGGGTTTAAGTTATTTTGCATGCAATATGAAAGATATCGCTCCACTGAAATATGAAGTTTCCTGTTTATATAATTCATTTATATTTTATATTTTGTCACAGTGGTTAAGGATGATTAAGTGGCCACCATCAAAAACGTGTGATTACAATGTTTCCAAGGAACAACAATGTCAATGGGTTTGCTCTCTTTCATTCTGCTGTTAAGAATACAAGCTAAATAAAACCAGCAAGTGGAGCTGCAGACATTTTCATGCAACTGTTTGCAGAAATAAATAAAAGTAAAATGTAAAACACACTTACAGTATAAATGACAACGCTTGATTGGTTGGTGACTGTCATGCCGATGAACCGCCACTCCAACTGGTTCCTCATGCTTTGGTGAGTAATTTCAGTTATGTCTTCACTGTCATTTAAGAATATAAATGTCAACTCCTTCTCTAAGGTGAAAGTGAAGATACAAGTTTGAGATGTCTTATCAGGTCAACACAGGATAAACGCATGTGCTGGTGTGTGCTCATGTGACAATTAGCCTTTAAAGAGATAATTACCACAAACGTGCAATCTAACACACAACATACATATTTTAGAAAAATGTCTAGAAACTTCTGAAAGCTCACCTGAGTAAATGATAGACTTGAGAGACAAGTTGCAGCTCTGAGTATCAAAAGGAAATTTGTAAACGTGCATCTTGCACGTGCTGACCACCATAAGGTCCCTGGTTTGTTCAATATAACCGGTCGAGTGAATGGTGATGAAGTGATTTGGAACGGCCTTGTTATTCTCTATCCTGTATGACAACAAACATACTTGTGTACAAATTATAGTAAACACTTTATGCTTCAAATTGATTTTCACATTGTGTAATACTTTAATACAATGAAACATTTATCTAAATTATGATACTATTGTTTAAGTCTGTATTTTCCTAAAATGTACTCTCATTACTTTAAATATAGAAATACTATCCACACAGTATAACAATATCACACATCTCTGTATCTTAAATATGCTCAAGTCAGTTCTGGGGTATCTGCTTAATTGTTTATTGCATTCTAACAACAGCTGCTTTCCACACAATACATAGGTGTACAAAAACAATATGTTTAAACCTTGTTGCATCATCTTTTTACATCCATATGAATTATTGTGCATGTCCTTAATAACAGGCTCCATCACCAGTTACTGTTGTGAGTGTGTGGATTTGTGAGTATGCACAAACATTCCAACTTACATCTCTTTAATCATTACATCTGGCTTCCACAACAAATCAGCAGGAACTCTCATCATGTTAAGTTCACCAAAGTGATCTGGGTCCCAATGAATAAGCGGATCAACCCATTGCTAAACAGGAAAACAAGGAAGAAGGGAAGAAAATATATATAAATAAAGAGCTTTAAGATGCAATCTGCAGCAACTCATTTCAACCTACAGTATAATAAACAGTATAGGAAAATCACAAATTGGTTCTCAAAACAAACTCACCTTATAAATCCGAATGAGAGAAAATAAAGTCTGGTCCATCTCCCTCTGTAACCGAAGAAATGTTGTGAACATATGGAGCTAATTTCCTGCCATAACTCCACAAACAAACTAAACAGGTTTTACAAATGCCTCATGATTCACTAACAAACACAATGTGGTTTGCAAATACAAAACACCATCTACAAACTAATGCATTTAGTTTTGCAAAAAAAAAAACATATCTATCAAACAAACACATAACATTTTTCTAATAAATCATGTTTCAGAGACAAATTCAGCATAGGTTTTTACAAGTACACAACTTTTTTTTACAAGTACACAACTTTTTTTTACAACTACAACACTTTGTTTTACAAGTACAAAACTTTTTCTTCTCACGGCGGAATATTACTGCCAAAAGTCACGTGACTCACTCACGTGACTTTTGGCAGTAATATTCTGCCGTGGTTGTGCTCAAACAAGGCTTGTTTGAGACAAGCGAGACCGACGCAGACCTGCGCAATTGCGATCAACGTCTTGCTAGTGCGTTGCATGATGGTTAGTCATTTTGTCCGACTTGCTCTGGAGGCTCGCCTACATGAGACGTTGAAATCTCGCGGGAAAAAGACGCCCGCAGACTTGAGAGCGAGGCGCGGCGAGGCGGCGCAGTTTCTCTCCACGGGCTGCGGAAACGAAATGCTTGATGGGAAACGACTCGCTGGTATCTCGAGCTGAGCGCTCATTGGTGGTTTTTACCCCGTGCTGGTGATGAAACTCTCCATTGGCTCTGCAAAGGTTTGTTGTTGTTTTGTGTCAGTTTTACGTCGCCACTTCCATTCACATTTTTCATCATTGTTCCACAATGTTTATCATGAAATTAATATCTATATATTTTATACTATACTTGCACTGCTTACCGTTTTCATACTTTATATATACACTGCATATTCATACACACTGTTAATACTGTTCATACTGCTCATAGGCTACTGTGTATATCTAGTGTATTCATACCCCTCACTGTTTATTCATCATTCAATTCATTCTATATTTTATTCTGTAGATTGTGTACATTACTTTTCACTTTACTGCTTTATGCACTCCTGGTTAGAAGCTAAACTGCATTTTATTGTCTCAGTACCTGTAATATGTATAATATAAAGTTGAATCTAATCTTGAGCAGGAACAAATGTATTTACTTAGTACATATCTGACATTAACGATTAAACACATTTGTGCATTCTTTAGAAGAGAGAAACTTGCTCTGTCATAGGCCTACTGGGTCAGGCTACAAGGAAGTGGAGAGGAAAATATCACAAACAGAATACTACAGGATTGCTGGGAATATACAAACTTCCAGGGGCGTGGGTTTGGCTGGACGAGTAAGGAGAGAACGAGGACATATGGAGTGGAGACCGTAACGTTTGCCAAAGCAACCCCATTTAGCAGTGTTCCCCCATGGCTTTTCCCAGAAGCTAACATAGATATGAGTATCATAGAAAGGAAAAAAGAGTGGCAAATAAATGAAGTGGGAATTAAAACGAGTATGTACTAAAGTTAACAGATATGGTTCTAAACTGTATTGAAGTAAACATGTATTATTTTGAACTGTATTTTAGTGAACATGTATTGTTTGAACTGTTTTAAGCAATCCTATATATATTCTCTTCTCACTTACACCCACTGACCCAGATATCCTGCTACACACACATACACCTCCTCCCACCAGCACACACACATATTCTTTTCAAGGTCCTTTCTGGGCATCAATATATCTGTGTACAATGTTTGGTTGTCTGGGAAAGAATAGTTTGTGTGAAATATTCCTTGGGAAAGTAAAGGAGTGAATACAGGTGCAGAGATAAAGTTTGACTCTGTCCTTGTGTACTTCCGAAGATCTCAGAAGAAACATACTTTTTTCCCAGAACTCTGATTCGCTGTATTGGACCCGACCAGAAGTGAATCCAACCAGTAAAAACACCTGGGGGAGTGAGCAGCTCACACAGCTCCTCCCTACGGACTCTCTGATTCACTTCGGAGTAAAATGGGACGGAAGAGTGAACACATCTCCGCCCCAAAAATGTCTATGAATACTGTTGTTTATTCATGCAAAATGCTTCCTGTTTCTGACTGGCTGGTCCCGATACCTGTATCGCACGGCAGTAGAGCTGGAAGTCCAGAGTACTCTGTAAACTTGTATAAGTGTTTTGTTTTTTACCAGTAAAATCAGATTATTGTTATAACCTTTATTCCGGTGTTTTGAATTCCTTCTTTTATTAAATCTAACCAGGCTCATCTAACGAACGGCGCGTAGCAGAGGTGGGCTTTAAGCCACCACCACGGTGTTTGCTACAACAGTACCTGAACGAAAAGTATTATAATTACTTAAAATGTATACAGATGGATCTAAGAAACAAGAATGCATGGGGATAGGCGTGTATATACCAGATTTCAAAATATAAATCTCAAAACGAGTGTCACATAACTTATCAGTTTATACAGCAGAAATACTAGCAGCAATTATTGGGCTACAATAGGTTGAAGAAGTCAGATAGGGTGGTGATATGCACAGACTCACTATCTGCTTTGAAAAGCATACAGTCGACAATAACTGTGAGAGAAGATTTCATTATTGAACTTAACCATTGCTTACTGAGACTTCAGAGGAGGGGAATAGATGTGCAGTTATGCTGGGTGCCTGCACATGAGGGGGTTCAAGGGAATGAGCATGCTGATAAGTTAGCAAAAGATGCGTTACAGAAGGAAATAGCAATACCAGTTTCACTTGGAAAAGGAGAAGGAAAAGCAATACTTAAGAAGAAGGGTATGGAAATATGGCAGAAAAGGTGGGAGGAAGATCAGAAAGGGAGGAGATACCACAAGTTACAGAAATCAGTCATCACAAAGATCTATACAGAAAGGAACAGACGGGAGGAGATCATCATCACTAGACTCAGACTGGATCATACAGGATTAAACGGCACAATGTGTATAATGGTAAAAAGCGAAGTTGAAGAATGCAGGGGTTGTGGAGTGAAAGAAAATGTGGAACACATCATATTACACTGCAACATGTACAAAACAGAGAGGGAAAAACTAAGAGACAGCTCAGAGAGGCAGGAAGGGAGTGGAGCCTGATGGGGACACTGGGAAAAGAAGGTGAGGGGGTAAGAGCTACCAGGAAGGCCATTCTTAAGTATTTGAGTGAAACAGGACAAAAACCGAGAGAAGAAGAAGAAGCCGACTCCGAGCTGTCCGACTTCAGGCGAGCTTTTTGAGATCTCCCCCGGCGGCAATTGGCTATTCTCGTCTACTTTCGAGGCGAGCCACAGCTCGTCTCAAACAAGCCTACACACTCACACATGCTCACTCACACATGCTCCACGGCAGCAGGGGGCACTACTGAGTCCATTGGGAAGGCGGGAGGTTGAGCAGAGCATGGAACAGCCCTTGCCAGTCTGATGGCAGGTGTTTCTAGCGATCCAGCGATCTGGGTCAGTGTTATAGTGATAATATTATAAGGTGAATTTAGCGATCACAACGAAAACAGCCAAGACACACATTGAACCCAGAAAATGAATGTTATTAAGGGCTGTAAATATAATAAGCCTATGGGTAAAATGGACAACATTGTAAGGAGATTTAAACTATACAGCGATTCTGCACTGCGGTCACTCAGCCGTCTCTCGAGTTTGTCTTTTCAAATCAGCTGCTCTTCATTTTCTTTCCTGCTATATTCAATGAGTGATACAAATATTTGTTACCACATGTTCTTAATAAAACTGACACTGTTGGACTCGGTACTAGTTGAATGCTACCAGAAATAAAAGGAAGTACTTTTACTGTGTACTTTGTGAGTAATCCTCTGTCAGAGTCCCCTCCGTAGTACATAATGCATGTTTTCTGCTATC